TTTTTCTTTCAAACTTTATATATTTCTATTACTTAATGTATGTAATCAATTTATTGCAGACGAACTACGACTTAGAGGACATCAACGAGGAGACTTTGGCGTACGTCAACAGACTCTTCGGTGAGAGGTACAAGCAGTGGAAGAGCGACTTGCACCACCATTTCCAGGCGTTTGATGATTCGCAAGTCGCTCTTCAGGAGGGTTGCCCGAAGGAGCTTGAGGGGCGGGAGGATAGTTGGGCGTGGCTCTGCGCTCATTTTCAGGCGCCCGATTATGTGGTATTTTTTTAATAATATTTGTTTAATGTTTATTTTATTTTTTATATCTCATTATTATTTAATTTATTTATAGTTCAATTCTTACGTTTTATTTTTTGTATAACAGAATAAAGCCCAAGTGAATAAGGGCAATAGGAAGAAGAAGACTCTTCTTCACCATTCCGGCTCCAGGCCCTTCTCATATAGGATGGATGCACGGCGTCGGGTAAGAATAATATAATTTATATTTAATTTTTAATACGTCATTATTATTAATTTCTTTTGTTCATACTAATATTTTTCTTCTCTTGTTCAATTAAGGGGGGGTCGAAATTCCCAGAGATCGACGTCTTTGGTGACGTTTATGTTCGACCTGGGAATGAGTTGGCCGAGTCCCTTCATGTAAGTATTATTTAATTTTAATTCTTATGTTATGCATTCAATTTATATGTATGTTTTAATTTATATTTTATGTAATGTTAAATAGACGACGTTGGTGGAGAGGAGCCAGTTGGTTTTTTAGGAGTCCGCCTCCCAACTTCCTCCCGAGACTCCGATCGAGTCTGTGGATCCTCCACAGGATGCTGGATCAGACTCTCGAGAGAAGGCTGGGAACATATTGTAGGGGGATCGGGAATGCCCAACAGAGGGAACCTCGACCGCGGTCATCATCGCAGGCAAACAGTTAGGTGACTGTTTTGACATCGCGGGTTGCCAACCTTGAGGGTCAGATGTCGGTGATTCTGCAGTCCCTCCCGCGGTCCGGCATTCCAATCCCGAATTTTAGTGCGTCGACCTCCGAGCACGTCCACCCTGAGCATCCCCACCAGACCACGGCCCCTGTAGACGCCCACACCTCCGAGCCGCATGTGGCAGACGACCAAGTAGATTTCGGAACATTATTTGATTAGTTTTTTATTTTTATAATTATTTTTACAATTTGTATACATTTATTTTATTTTATATAATAGATGTTTTCTTTACGATTAATTTTTTTTATTGTAATTTCATTTTAATTTAAAAAAAAAACCAAATTTATTTTTTTACAAAATTAAAAATCAAATAATAATAATTTTTTTTAAATAATATATATTGCTTTTGCGCGACGAAACGTAAATCGTCGCGCAAAAACATTTAAATAACAAATCGACAAATATATTTTAATCTTGCGCGACGAGTAATTTCGTTGCGCAAGATGTGTATGCGTGACGAATAAGAAGTCGTTGCGCAAGGTTCATGTAGCTCGCGCGATGGACAATTCCGTCGCGCAGTTTTTTTGCGACGACCGCTGTTTCGTCGCGCAAATATTTGTGCGACGGACAATGAGGTCATCCCCAAATGTTTTTTGAAACGAAGTTGTTATACGTAGCGCAAACTGCGCGACGAATGTCATTTGTTCGTCGCGCAAATCCTTTCTTCACGAACTTTGCGCGACGGACTGTGCGCGACGAAACTTCTGTCGCGCATAATGATATGCGACTAAAATCATTTTTGCCCGCGGGAACACCGCGCAAAGACTAAAATGTAGTAGTGTAAGTAGGGGTGAGCATCAAAACCGGAATACCGAAACAATCCTGAAACCGTGCCAAACCGTGCCAATCTCATGCTGTCCCATTTGGTGTTGACGTGTAAACGAGATGATATCGTGTCATCCCGTTATTGTTTGGCATGACAACGATTCCATATTTGTGATCCTGTTTGGGGCCATACTTGACCGAATAGTATAAATAATAATCCTTATATAATTTCAGTTCCTCCTCTCTCTCCCACAGACATTTCGACTTAGCTTTGTTTCTCCTCCATCCTTTCCTTTCCTTCCCTTTATCTATTCTTCTCTTCTCTTCTCCTTTCTCAATCATGACTGGAAGCTGTAATTCCCAAATCCTCCACCATTGATCGATCTCTTCTTCTTCTACTCCTCCTCATCTCTCTCTCTCTCTCTCTCTCTCTCTCTCTCTTCTTCTCCAAACTGGTGGAAAAGGAAAGCCCCAACCCAAAACAATAATAAGTTAATAACCCTTGTGAATATTGCAACTGCCTGTAGTTCTCTCTCAGGCTTACATATTTGCTAACGGTATATTTGAAAGAAACTAATATGCATTTGACCCAAGCTCAGCTTTTTATTTTTCTTTCTATTTTCTTCAATTACTTTCCTTTTTCATTTACCAAAAGTAAATAGCTAAATAAATAAACAAATAACATGTTTATTTTTTTATTTTTTTATTTTTTATTTATATTTATTTTACAAGTCCCGTTTGGGTCCGGTATGGTTTGAATGTGTTTTCAAAAACTCTCATCCTATATCATCCCATCCCGATTCCCCTATCCGGGATTGACATTGGGATGGTGCCCAGCCCTAGATCTAAGTGTGTCCCATGAAAATAAGACCCATGTTCTCATTTTGTTTTGTTAATTTAAATTTTAAATATAAATATAGTTAATTCACTTTATTACCCTTATTTTATGAATACTAGCCTCCCTTCGACGTGTGCGGGAGGTCTTTTTTCGATCACGTGCCCTTTAAATTGAAACCGAATTTGAAGGCCCATTGGACTTGAACGTCTTGGGTTTCCTAAAATTAAGTTCTATGAGACAACTTAAAGTATGCAGCCCAACCCAACAATCCCAATACATAGAGGTCTCGGTGGCCATAGTGGGTTATGGATATTACATGTCCACAGTTTTGCTCTGGCGGTTGAGATGGCGCAGCTGCTCCCACACCACTTCTTATCACTCAAATTTGTTGATGACACATTCCTATGAAGGAATTTATTAAAGGGGCATTCTCCACTATTAGTCCCCTGCGGCAAAATAATTTGTGTAAATAATACAAAAACAATAACAAGAGAAGAGCAGAGAGATGGGTATAAATTGCTTAAGAGTAGTGCCCAAAATTCCACCTTCAGCAAAGCACAAAATCATCATCTCACACTCATTCTCACACTCTCTCTTATTTACCAAAAGGTCCTCCAGAGCAATACACGCAGCAGCAGCATCTTCTTCAATGTCTTACGAAAAGGAACTCGCTGCTGCCAAAAAAGCTGCCTCTCTCGCTGCTCTCCTCTGCCAGGCAATACTCCCCTTCTCTCCCTCTCTTTTTGCTTGAGAACGAGCTTCTTTTTTTTTTTATTTAAATTTTATATATAAAAGAATGAACGGGTTAGTTGAGCAAAACCTAGAACAAAATTTGTCAATTGACGATGCGTGATAATGGAAATTGAGAGGAATTTAGAATGCAAAATATTTGTTTAGGACAAAACCCATGTCGTGAATCTGCCATTCTTTGTCTTTTATACAAATATGGACATCTAGTATCAGTATACAGCATACTCCTTATGTTTATGTCTATAGTTTGCTGCTATTATGAATTCAAGGTTGTATACCATCTCCAAGAAAAGCTTCTTTCTCCAAAATAAATTTCTGCTCCCATGGCATGTGCAGAGTGTTTCTGTGCTCGCCTAGTGTGCTCTGTTCCTTGAAATACAATTTTTCACGGTTTAGGACTGGAAATCATTACTTTAGAGCAAATGTATGTGTTTATGTGTATGTGTGTGTGCACATATATATTATGTGTATGAGTATGTGACTTGACTTTATGCATAATCGAATTCTGGCATGTACAAGATGAAAGGAACAAAAAAAGGTATCTTTAACATGAGCTTTATTTGACTGTAAGTGCCATAGATTAGTTTGTTTTTATAAGAAATTTCTGGACAGAAACATTTGTTTTTGAAAATCATATAAAGAGTGCATTTTGAAATATATACAATCCTGTCATATAATCCGTAGCATTTCTGGTGTCATATGATTTTTTTCTCTTTACATGATTTGTGAGTAAGCACTGAAATGATATATATAATTTTTTTTTCATATGTATTAATTTTACCAATATATTTTGTCATCCTGAGTCAATTTCAATTATTGCCTTACTGTGCTTCAGAAGGTGCAAAAAGCACTGTTGCAGTCAGACGTTCATTCCAAATCAGATAAAAGTCCAGTCACCGTGGCAGATTATGGTTTGTTTTCAAACTCTTGTGTAAATGCGTTTCAATTACGTGCAAGTTATTCATGGTGTTTTTAAAATTAATCAGTCATCTTGACATTTAAACTTAAACTTCTATTTGTATCTGCAGATAGCTTAGAAGCTATCTTGTAACCCCACATTTTGATGTTCGCATGGCAGAATTATAATAACATGTAGAAACTATCTTGTAGGTCCAAATGCTTTTTGCATATGGTTTCTATTAGATTTTTTCAAAAAAGAAAAAGAAAAAAAGAAACAGTGCTCATATTTGCTTGCATCTGCCATCTAATTCATCGTATCATAGGCAAGGCAGTTGGTAATTCCCCTCCTTACTTCAGTGGCATGGTAATAGTTGTTTCCTGCCTTGTGTATAATGCTGGTGGGGCTGCATTTCTTTGACCATCATTTTAACCTGAGCTCAAATTTTATATCTGGTCAAGAACCATTAAACAAAAAACACAATGCTTTAGATGGCTATTTGAGGCCCATAAACTGGATATGAACTTAAATATTTTAATAAATACCCGTACCTTATACTTTCTTTATGGCCATGTAAGGATGATGGATTGCAGGTTATGCTTGCATAATTCGTTCTTTGGCTTGGCCCTTTCAATAGCGACCACTGACGTCTTTGCTTGAGCTTTCAGGCCCATAGTTTCATATGTCTAGATATTTAATAGATGTGAGAATAATTTTATGTTTGTTAAACTTGCATCGCCTCACACTATCTTCCTGTCTCATTTAATATTTCCCAAAAGTAGTTTCCAATGCACCAGCTGGTATGAAAGGAAGTTAAATGATTAGTGGTATGCTAGACTGTACATACATGTGCTTATATGAAATAAGAACGATAGATAAGTAAATGAAACATTTGCAAATATGTAAATTAAATCTGGATCCTTTTTATTCACTGAAAGAAACTCTATATACTTCTAAAATTTCTTAATCTGCCCTTCCATGGTTTGTGTGCTGATGGAAGGTTGGTTTGATGTCATAGGAAAGACAAATGTTTTGTCATGCACTCCAGATTTAAAAATTATCAGGTTGCTTCCGTCTTAGGAGGACCTTGTCCATAAATCTTCTACTGCACATGTGAATTGCTATATCATTATTGTAATATCTTCTTGGCTATGTCACAATTCCGAGTAGACAGACACTCTTGTTTCACAGTACGCTTTTATGCTGTCCATTAATCTTCTGCAAATGGAGGATGTATGTTTCTATCAAAATCACTAGGTCCTTTAAGTGGATTGCACATAAGCCCCATTATTTTGGTCTGCGCCTAACTATAAAAGCAGATAGGTGCAATTTTTATTCTGTGAAAAGAAAAAAAATCATTGGACATATAATTGAAACTCTCACTGTAAATTTTCATAATTCTTATTATCCTTCGTGGGAGAGGTAAGTGAAACTTTCACTGTCTTTCTTTCTATTTATACCAGCCCCTTGGATTTTTTTTTTTTTAAATTTATAATTTTTTTAAAATTTTAGTAATTCAATTTAAAATTAAGAGAAAATGGGTCTAGTTGTGACCCATGCAAATAGGACCCATGTTCTCATTTTGTCCTTCTTTTAATACAATTTGTTTCTATTCAAAAAAATGTTCTCATTTTGTTGTTTATTTTAAAATTTTAAAATATAAAATATCCATTTACTATATTACCCTAATTTAATTAATATGTTCCTTTCGTAATATTTTCTTTAACTAAGTCCATTTTGTGTATTTTGAATGTTTTACCATTCTCTGCCTCTTCCTTTATATACATAGGGTTCAAATTCATGTTACATCAAGGACTGTAGTCACACTGTTTGTGATTTCTGTTTTTTTTTTTTCACTTAACTAAGCAATTTGGGTAATATGAAAGAAACTCTAATGACTGCCTTTCTTTCTTGGCTACTTTTGCCAGGTTCACAGGCTCTTGTTAGTTTGGTACTGGAAAGGGAACTTCCTTCTGAATCATTCTCGCTAGTGGCTGAGGAGGTGAATATGTACATTTTTGCAGAAAAAGAGACAGGCAGAAACTGTTTTATTTTCTTCCTTTAATTGTAAATCTTCTTTTTAACTTTTAAATGTCTTAGGACTCGGGAGATCTTCGTGGAAACAGTGGCCAGGAGACACTACAGCGCATCAGAACACTTGTTAATGATACTCTTGCAAACAATGAATATTCTAGTGTTTCTAATTTAACCACTGATGATGTTCTTAGGGCTATTGACAATGGGAAATCTGAAGGTGGTTCTAGGGGCCAGCACTGGGTTTTAGATCCCATAGATGGTACCAAAGGGTAAGTTTCTAGACACAATTGATAAGCTTCTATCATTAGTATTTGTTGAAGGTTGAGAAGAATGCTTCATTTACATATTTTGTGATTACCCCTGCCGAACAGCTCATGCTATTATGTCTTGCATGTATGCCTGATGCATGTAACATGAATTGATGAGTGTAAATCTGATTCCAAAATATATTAGCCTTCTAGGGCTTAGATTTTGGACATTACATGTATGGAATTATCTTGAAACTGTTAATCTTTTTTGTCAACTTGCCAAAATTTCTGCTACCAATACACGACCATGCATTCATTTAAACTAAGCTGCGATCCATCCCTTTGGAGTGGTACAGACTTGTGTATTTCATTGTAGAAGACACGGGTCTTTTCTATTAATTCGTCATTTCTCATATTCTTTGTACTTTAGCTTTTTTAATGTTTCTGAAGCACTTTTGCTTTTTATTTTTATTTTTATGAGGTTATTTCTGCACAACTTTCGTACATTTTTCCCGTGTTCAAGTTTGAATTTGGAAAAATTAGGATGTGAAGCAAACTGTGAGTCAAAGATTATTTGAGTTCTATCACTAATGAAGTAAGTCACTGCGCGGAAAAGTTTGATAATTTGTACGGTGTTGGAAAGAGAGAATTATCATCATTCATGCTTCAGTTTTATCAGAAAAATCGGGGTCGTCTATTTAGTTGATCATAGTTAGACAACTAAATGGTCTCAAATTTCATTGATTGTTTCCAAGGATAATACTCAAATAGAGACCTAACAAGTGGATGGTTTGGATCATTGGATTGCATTCAGGGTTGGGCCCAGATGTGATCCCATATATACTTCTTAATTTTCTAGGAGTTCTTGTAATTTGCTGAATTTTTTTTAGCTATGGTTCACCGGGTTTTATTACCTTACCTAACTATTAATTTATACTTTTTTTCTTCGATTCACTTGCTAGCCATGTATTCCATATTGATTTATGCTCTTAAGCCTGCCATGATAAATAGCTTATTGTGGTGTAGGTTTCTTAGAGGAGATCAATATGCCATAGCATTGGCATTGCTGGATGAAGGAAAAGTTGTGTTGGGTGTCCTGGCCTGTCCAAATCTTCCTCTGACATCCATTAGTGGTGAAAATCAGCAGTCTTCACAAGATAAAGTTGGCTGTCTTTTCTTTGCTACAGTTGGTACAGGAACATATATGCAGCCACTGGATGGTTCTTCCCTGCTAAAGGTTAGCACTTGTATAGGTAGTTCATTGCATTCTTTTTCTGAAAAGGTTTGACATAAGTAATATTATTTCTGTCCTTAAGGTACACGTCAGCGCTACTGAGAATCCTGAAGAAGCTTCATTTTTTGAATCTTTTGAAGCAGCACACTCCTTGCATGACTTGTCTAGCACCATTGCTAAGGTACTGCTTTCTCTTTTCCTCTTTAACAGTTATTGCTGTGTTTGTTTTTCTATTGAATTATTGTTAGTAAAAACGTTGTTAATGAACAGAAACTTGGCGTCAAAGCCCCGCCAGTTAGAATTGACAGCCAGGCAAAGTATGGGGCACTTTCCAGAGGAGATGGAGCGATATATCTTCGTTTCCCTCATAAAGGATATCGTGAGAAAATATGGGATCATGCTGCTGGGTGCATTGTCGTGACTGGTAAACTATTATTTCCAACAGTTATTTCTTCCTTATCTCATCTCAATTGGTGGTGTGGGAATGGTCTTTGACCAAGCTTTATAGCATAACCTGTAGGCTGTGAACTCCGACTCCTACGGCAGGGATGAAGTTTACAGGGATAGTGATGAGTATGAGTTCATAATGTTAACATGGTGGATGAAAACAATGTTAAGATTACACATTCCCAGAGGAGGGTATGATTAGACATATAATTTGAAGCTCATAATTAGGGTTGGATAGGCAATCAGATAGAAACACTCTGATAACACATTATAAATAGTGTGGATTGAGTAGTTTATGCACGCAAAGTGAAAATGATAAAGTTAGAAAATGGCATAAAAATGAAGTAATTTTAGTTTATGTTTAATTTGCTAATCGCACAAATAAGAGTCAGTTTCCATCGTTTGGTCAATCCCAAAAATAATATAGAACCCACATCAGCTATGAACCCAACAGAAGGGACATTTCTCAAAAGGAGATTCCATCCCTCCTGTCAAGCTATGTTGTCATCTTCCTCCGATTTCACTAAGTTGAAATCTTTCTTAAGCTTTGACAGCATCTCTTCCTGCTACAACTATGAGTCACAAAAAAGGGTCGGAGTAAAGGTGCCCCATCCTGGTGAATATTGATTTTGCAAAGAAATACCTTTCATATTTACATAATTTATTTTCATTAATGTAGTTTACAGTCTTATGGCAATTTGACAGACTTAGCCGTAGTGGCCTCCTTGACATGGAATGGATCCATTACATAAAGCCCAAGTGTAGTAAAGTCCTAGGAGTGTTTTCTAGTTATCATATCTAGGAGTTGTTAATATGCCAGAGAGAGAGAAAATAAATTGTTTGCACTTTTCTTGCATGCACAAGACAGATGCTACAGTTGATGGATGGTTACTTGAAATCTCCATGGATAGAAGATTAGGCCATAAATAAGTTTTCTTGTGTTGGATTCTGTTAGTTTTGTTGCGTGTGTTTAGTTCTGGAAAGAACTGATGGTTTATAAATATCTTCATTGATTGTATGGATTATCCAGACCCTTTACAATTGCGTGAGTGAGCTTCCAAAATTATTCCTCTCTTAGGGAATCATTCTGAAACTCAAACTTTTGTTATCCTTGTATCGTAAGTGCAAAAGCTAATAATTCAAGAATATGTTGAGATGTTTACGGTGTTGGAGATTAAAGCAGTAATTTTTATTCTTGTTTTTTTTTCCCTGCTTTTCTGATACCTTGTTTGCAATAAAAAATTGCAGAAGCTGGGGGTGTGGTGGCAGATGCTGCAGGGAACCCATTGGATTTTTCAAAAGGGAAATATCTTGATCTTGAAACAGGCATAATTGTTACCAATCAGAAATTGATGCCATTACTCTTGAAGGCAGTTAAAGAATCTCTGGAAGAGAGAGCTTCATCCTTGTGATTCTTTTTGAGAGCGGGACTCGGATGTTTATATTATCACAGTTTCAGCCACGATAATGATTGGAGAGTCACCAATTAAATAACAGTTAATTTTTTTTAAGATAATAATAATAATTATTATTATAATAGTTAATCCTAAAGGCGATTCCCTTTCTCTAATCAAGGCCCTTTTGCATTTGCATATTTGCTACAGATCCAATATGGCATTTTCTATTTATTTATATTTATATATATATATTTTTTAGAACCTTTCTTATTGAGAGTGACGATAATATACAAAATTTACACACAATATACGGATGCTATGACTCGAACTCAGGATCTTACTTGAGGGGGCAATTACTCTAAATCACTATATTAGTGGGTCATTTCCTATTTATTTGCATATTTTGTCTAACTAAGATGCCATATTATTAGTGTGATTTAGAAAGCCAGAACATGATATTATAGTGCAAGAGATTATTGGTAATTAGTAATATGGTAGGAACGCTCATTGTCAAAGGTGAAATGAATCTTAGCATTCATAGATTCATTATGTAAAATTCTGTTATTCGGGGGCTTCATTTGTATTTAGTAAGTTTTTAATTGGGTCCTATAAACCAACTCTTGTACCTATTGTTCATTTGTAATCAAGGGATTCGATAAAGAGTAGCCTAGTGTTGATGCCTTTTTCTTTTCTTCTCTTGTCGATCCTTCTTGGGAATGGAGCGGGAGAAAGGAGAAGGCTGCGTCAACACCATGCCCCGATTGGATCCCTCACTCGCAAGAGGACTTGTCTAATTTTGAACAAAATTGAAAGTTGGATCAGGTTGAAAACGGCAGGAAAGCGAAAGTTGGACCCTGGCGACCTGCTTCTCCTAGCCCAATTTGTAGTTTGCGTAAGTGTGCCACTATTGGGGGTGAGATCAGCCCAATAAACCTGATATAGGTGATGTAGAATGCTTTGTTTGATGAATTTGCGCTTATTCTGGACCTTTAATCAAGCCCTTGTGCTTCAAGGGGAGTACTGGCTTGGATGAGTTCTTTTCTATGCCTCAACTAAGAGGATTTTAATATTCTTTCAATCATGCGTTTAGAATGGGAGAACCAAATAGCCTCAAATTTAAAAGCTCTAGAGGGATTAGGAATGGGGGTGGGTGAGCAAGTCAAACTGTTGAAAATACTAATGCCGTGACAAAAAGATCCAAAAGGTTCTAGAAGAATCATTATTGATGGAAGAACCTAGAGTTGTGGAGAAAAGAACAAGGAGGTGGAGCATGATGGCAAAATAATAGCCACAAAAATATAAGAAAGTTTCTAGGCAAAGCCACATACTTGTGGCTGGAAATAAAAAGACCAAGTCGGTGGAACTTAGGCTATGTCGGCAAAGAATGCCTATAAATAGGCATGCAATACAACAAAGCAAGGTGGAGTGGAGTCATCCACCAACTCCCACTCTATGTGGAGTTCAACAAAGAAGAATTCCCAAACTAAGGGAGCCAAGAGCTACCCAAGTAAAGGGCCAAATAGTCCAAACTATTCTAAATCAAGTGTGGTGGCCAATATGCCAATATGCTAAGGAGGCCAATTAGCCTACACAAAGCCATGTACTATTCTCCTCCAATCTAATAAAATCACTTTGTTTCCCCTACAATTCTAACACAAACAAATCGGGCCATGATCAGATCTTTGGAGGGGCAGGTTTTCTAACTTAAGGTTAGGGTATAAAGAGAGCCAACTAGGGTTAGCAATCACGAGTTCAAGTCTTTCAAAAGTAACTGAGTTATCTTGATGTTTGTTAGACCAAGTGAAAGGTACACCTTCAGTTGGCAAAGAACAAGAACCACAGTCATTTATATAAATTTGGTAAAACGATACATCGATGGATGAAGGTTAGGAATACCACCAAATTTTTCAGGTAGGATGCAGATATTATTGAAGTCACCTAAGAGAGCCCAAGGTTTAGCATTATAGGGTTTTAGGAGGAGAATCTCCTCCCAAAGCCTCGGTTGTTTTTCTTTCTGAGGAAAGGAGAGATAAAGGTAGCCAACCAATCTTTACTAGCAATCATGTCATGGATAGAGCAATGGATAAAAAGATCATGATACTTCAAAACACTACATGGATAGAGCAATGGATAAAAAGATCATGATACTTCAAAACACTACAATTAACTGAAATAGGATTCCAAAATAACAACAAACCCCCACACTTCCCTTGGGCAAGAACAAAAAAGCTGCAATCCAGGAGGATTTGCCGACTAATTTACTCAGCCTTAGACAAAGAGGCTCTTGAGTCCAAAATACAAAACATATATAAATGAAAAAGACAACTTGGGTAATAAAACTAGGCGAGGAACTACCCCGGCTATTCCAGACTAGCAACTTCATTGATCAAGGTTCGATAGTGTTGGAGTGTGGGTCAAACAAACCAAGGATCTCAACACTAGGCTCAGACTCTTCCAGTACCTCCTCAACTTCTTCTCTCACCTTTTCTTAGGGCTCTTAAAAGCTTGAAATTGATTCTCACTAGTAGCTTCCATAGGTTGGTTAGACTCGCCAATCACAGCCTTACCCATCTTCCTAAGGACCATCTTTTCAAGGTTAGAATGAGTGGACTGAGTAGAAGGACCACCAAATTTAACACCCCTACCAACCTCTCTAAAGGACCGACCATCGCGCATACTATCTTTACCCTTCCCTTTTCTATTAGTCACAACAGTCCATTCAGGATCACTTTCACCTTATTGATTCAAATTGTAGGTTGAGGGAACACCGGAATAATATCCTCAGCCATCTCACTTTGAACCTCCTCATCCACTTCCATAGTAGTAGGGAAAACAACAGTTCATTTGCAAGTCGCTCTACCTTCAAGAAGTTCCTGTTAGTATCCTTCATAGGGCAAATATGAACCTCATCCTTATTCTTCTCGTGATCACAATACAAACATATCTCAAAGAGGGCTTCATAGCTAACGAAGCTTCTAATTTCAACATGTCCGTCCCCAATAACCAAGCATCGCTTCAAAGGATGGGTGAGATCCAGTTCAAGGCAAACTCACATTCAAGGATTTCCAATTAGGGATGCTTCATTAATTCTAAAGGGAGTTCCTAGAATGAAGGCAAGATCTTGTAAGACCTCAACATCCCTATAGTGGAGGGGAAGGAAAGGAATAAGAGCCCAACCAACAACAGACTCTATAGAAGCATGAAAAGGTGAGAAATCAGGTGTCCACCTCTTCAAAGAAAAAATATGGCCTTGAACAAACCAAGGCATGTTCTCAAGCACATAATCAATGTCTTCTTCAGAGGAAAGTTCGACTTTGAACCAATCCCTTCCCATATGATCAATGGAAAAGTCTCCTTGAAGAACATTCCAGTCATTCCTAAATCTGTTGCGAATAATTCTCCCATGTATAGACACACCAAACACCTTCCCATCCAAACAAAAGTTTTCATAATGCTCCTGAACCCCAGAATCAAGGGCTGTAGCAAAGATCCTAGTTTCAAGTTTCTCAAGCTTAAAATAAACCTACCCTTTTGCACTACAAAGGGAGAAAAGGAAGGGCTACTTCTACCCATTGAGGAACTAGCATTTAGTTGTGCACTCATGGTTAAGAAAGTAGGAGAGACTAGAGGTGGAGAGTATGGAAAATTAAGGGGATAACAACACTCGCCATCCCCTTGTGAGAATTAGATATAGTGCCAAAAGGAAAAGAATAATGATGGCAGAGAGCCATCCACCGCAATGTAAGGACATAATACAAGCAATGGTAAGATAGGGGAAGAAATTGTAAGCGTTATAAGGTCTCACACTCGTTGAACTTGGCTAGGACTCTGAGACAGATACCAAGAACAATTAGAACAAGTATTTTGAAGCTTATACATATGTGATTTAAATCTCTTATTTAAGCATTGAAGTCCTAATATAATTAGAAGTTGGACATAGTCATCCGATTACTTGGTGATTAAGTTGAATTCTAATAGGATTATAATGGAAGTATCCTATTAGAATTACACCAACTAAATTTCTGTATAAATAGGATAGGTCCCTGCTTTTGTCAAGCACTGAATCACAAAATTTCTTGAGCCCCATTGAGATAGAGTGATATACAGAGTTTGTTAAAGAGGTGGAAGACTTGTCTACTAAAACAATGGTTTCTTTTGCAAGTATTTTGTGTATTATTTGTATGTCTGCTAAGATGTTATAAGACTAACATGTGGTACCAGAGCTACAGGTTTTGTAATACTTATAATACCAATAAAGGCAGTAGCGTTTGTAGGAGGATAAACCAGATTCTTTAGTTTTTTGTTATAGATTTAAAGATTACTTTTATGATTGAGTTACTAACCATTATGCAGGAAATTATACAGTCAATCCAAATAGTTCCTAAAGGATATCATAATAAAATAAAATAGCCAAATCAATTTTTGTTGGTTATGATATATCAATTGAACAAAACAAAAGGATTGAGTATGTAACACATATTTGAGATATAGAGAATAGTTTTGCCAAAGCAAAGATGTTCTATATGTTTTGGTATGTGTTAGCATAAAACAGTACATGGCTTATGAAAACTGTATAAAAATTTTCTACTCAAAAGTACAAAAGTCTCAATGAAAGTCAGTTAGCATGTATCTGTGCATTGGTTTTATGATCAAGTATTGCATATTAGAAATTCAAAACAAATGAATCCTAATATGTTTCAAGATTTGGGGAAAAGATAATTTACTCTAGCATGTCCTATTCTGCAGCTTTGAACCCATCCTCTGTGAGTCACCATGCAATTGTTCCATTGACTCGGATAAACTACAAGAAGGGGAAAGAGGATGTGGATATAATCTTGGGAATTATGGATATGGATCTGGCCTTTAGAGAGAAGATAAACTAGCAAGACCAGCAAATGGAGCAAGTGCTACTCAGAGATCGAAGTATGAAAAATGGCAAAAGGCAAATAGGGTTGCACTGATGATCATCAAAAGATCTATGACTGATGTTGTTAGAGGAGGTGCTCCTGATCTCAAGGATGCAAAAGCTTATTTGGTTGCAGTGGAAGAGAGGTTCCAACGATCTGAGAAAGCAGAAACCAGTGTGCTTATGTGTGAATTGACAACAATGAGGTATGATGGGGCTGGAAGCGTTAGGGAGTATATTATGAAATTAATTGAAATCTCCAGCAAACTGA